ATCTCTAGCTGTCTTCCACAGCGTTTCTTTTGTCTTGTCTTCCTTCTCTCACCCCAACTCTCACTCCAACCCAGATGGCTGGCCCTCCCTGAGCCTGGTTCTGCTGTAGGTTTCTTTCTGTTAAAATTGAGCTTTTCCTTCCATCCTCATAAAAGTGCTTGCTCATAGGGGGTCATATGATTATTGGGTTTTTCTCTGTATGTATTATTGCAGAGTCTACCTTACAATATAAAGTGCCTTGAGGCGGCTGTTGCTGTGATTTGGCACTGTATAAATAGTTGAATTGAATTGAATCTAAATCCATGAGAAAAGCAATTAGTTTTTAAACAGTCAAAAATCTCTCATGGTAGCAAACAATGACTGTAGAAATGACTGTTTTCTACAGTCACTGGTAGCAAAAGTACTCCTTTCAATCCTAAGAAGAGGAATAGGTACATTTTGGTGGATGCCCTATTGACGTCCCTGCTTTTTTGCCACGCTGTACCCGCTCACCTGACGGACAGCACAATTTCACAATCAAACAACATCTTAGTAATAGCTACGCCTCCTGGATTTTTTAACCAATCATGTAAAGATGAGCAATCAAACAGCCAATCGGACAGCTCTGACGTCTCTTCGATAACATTTTTTTTTCAGACCCGCCCCTTGCCTGGCTTGACAGACAAGTCTGTAATCCTCAGATCCCAACTGTGACATCGCTGCTTTTATTATTACTGTTCTGAGTGTTTCATATCGGCACATTACAAACATTCTGTAATTTGTGCCTTTCCGCATTGCATGCTGATATTAACAGACGTTATGCCAAACGGACCCTAGCTACTCTCCTGGCTAACTTATTAACCGGTAACAACACAAGGGCCATCTGACGGTACACTGAGCTTGTTAGCCAGCTAGCTGCTGATTCTCCAGTCGAACTGCCCTTTGTCTTTTCAGGCAAGTCAGCTAGCAGGCGTTGGTTTCGTCTCTCGGGTAGTTAACCCAGGATTTTGGAGTTTTGTTTTTAATTTTTCGCCTGACAGGAGTGAAGCAAACCAAGATAGGCGGCTTGGGAACCAAGATGTCGAACCGAGTGGTGTGCAGAGAAGCAAGTCACGCCGGGAGCTGGTACTCTGCTTCGGGTAACTGTCAATGAAGCACCATCCGCGTTAGCACACCGTGTGCTAGCTGGCAGTCTTATTTGTTTGTTTTATGCTTTGTGTTCTATTAGTTTTTGAGGCTTCTCATTATGCGTAACTTACTGTCTTTGTAACTGGGCTCCTGGTGGCTTGCCACCGCAGAAATGAATAGCCAGTGTCAGGGCTGTAACGTTAGTCCATCCGTTTTTTGTTTTTTTTAAGTCGGCTATCTAACTGTTATCGACTGCCGTCTCTGTATTATCCCATTTGGTGTACGATTGGTTTGAACTTGTTCAGCACCTCCTCCTCGGATAGTGCGTGGAAATGTCAAAACAAAGCATTTTTGACTATCAACTCAACCAACGCTAACTTGGCTAATATTGCAGAACTTCCTGGCCTACGTGCTAGCTAGCCAGCTACACTTAAGATTTCCCGAAGCTGATTACCTACATTAACTTATGCGGTTATTGTCATTATTGTGTTCTTGTTGGTGTCTGCCCCTGATCCGCTTAAGTTATGTGTACAAATGCTCCCTGTCACAGAACAAAGGATTGGGTAGGGCAGGGCAGAAAGCTGAAGGTTCATGTTGCACCCCTTCCCCCATTTCACAAGCTGTACGCTAGTTTATTTATTTTTTTATTAAATCCCAAAAGGCTGCCCGATTATCCATTTGAAACTGCCATTTACAATCCTTTTTGAGACAACATATAAAGCAGATAAATACTGAAAACAACAAATGCTGAGCTAACATTGATTACCGTGATTCTGGTTGTTTTTCTAACAAATCATTCAGCTCTGTGTGCTGTTAATGTTGTCAACTATTGACACTGGTAAACATGAACTTTAGTAGTTTATACTGTAATATAGGCATTGTATTCCAGTTTAGTTAATCACGTTTAGTAAGGTTAAAATTGGATTATGACACAGTATAATGAGCTCCAGCTTTACAATGACAGTTGCCCAGCATATAAAAGATTGACAACACTATGTTAGGCTTTGTCAAGATGGGCTCTTATCCATTTCTTTCCCGTTCCAAAATAACTGACAAGGAATAATGAACTGCTGTCACAGCTGGATTTCAGCCCAGTGCATTGCTATTACAGTGCGACATTGGTAGGGATCTAAAATGATTGTAGCCTTATCAAAGTGTATTTGGACTATTTCTACAATTATCATTTGATTTTGTGACCCCTCTTTATTCTAGTGTTAGTCTACTCTAGTGAAATATATATACAGGTATATATCTTTTTTTGTTTGTTTACTTTTTCAGGATCCCAGCTGAATGCACAACTAGAAGGCTGGCTGTCTCAAGCACAGTCCACCATCAGACCCGCTAGAGCCATCATAGCACCGTAAGCACACATTGACAAACAGAAGGAAAATGTCTTCTGAATGTGTTCAATGCCTTCTTAATTGTAATATGGCTTGTTTTTGTTTGTAGCCATGCAGGGTATACTTACTGTGGTGCTTGTGCAGCACATGCCTACAAGCAGGTTGATCCCTCTATTACGTAAGTGATTCTGTTTTCTAGCTCTCTTCCTCATTTAAGAAGATGCTTTGCATGATTGTTTATCTTAATTCCACTTTTTCCACAGACTGAGCAGATGTGAGTGTAGATAGCAGAGTAAAGAAATGTTGGTGCTGTGCTTTTTGCGAAAACAGCTAATGAAATAAAGTTCTGTTGCCCTTCAGTCGTAGGGTGTTCATCCTGGGACCTTCACACCATGTGCCCCTCTCTCGCTGTGCCCTGTCACCTGCAGACATCTATAGAACACCCCTCTATGACCTGAGAATCGACCAGAAGGGTATTCACTGTTTTCAAATATGTCTTACATCTTAACTTGTGCTATAATTTATTTATAGGTATTTTGCACATCCTCATAAAAGGTGTTTTGAGGATGTGCGGTGATGTGAGGTAGTAACATGACAGTTTGGATAACATTTAAAGTGTAAATTTCATGTTTTGTGCCAAAAGCAAAGTGAAGAACTTTTTTTTTTTTTTTGGAGTCATTGCTCTTAAAAATGTGAAATGAAGCAAGTACAGAGCTTCAACATACAGACCTTATGCCAGTTTGGCAGGTGATACACTTT